CCCCCAGCGCAGCGGTGGCGCCGTGGCATTGGCCGGGGGGCTGGAGGCCGGGGCGGCAGCCGTGGAGCTGGCCGAGGGCTCGGGCAGGAGCGGCTGGCCCAGGGCTCGCTGGGTGGTCACTCGGATGAGGCCGCGGCGAGAGGTCGAGGGGGCCTGGACTGGGGGTGCTGGGGGATGGCTTTGGGGGCGCCCGGGCCACTCCTCGGCTTCGTCTGCAATCACAATGTGGAAACAGGCTCTGAAATGCGCTGTTTTGTGGTTGGTAAGTTATTTAACTTTCCCAAGCTCACGGGGACATGGGTGCGCCTGTCCACGCTGGGGCTTGAACTCAGGGCCTTAGCTTTTTTGCTCAGGGTGCTGTGCTCTTGAGCCACAGTGTTTTAATTGTGTCTTTACCAGTCCTGGGGCTTGAACTCAAGGCCTAGGCACTGTCCCTGAACTTCTTTTGCTCAAGACTAGCACTCTACCACTTAAGCTAGTGTCACTTCCGGCCTTTTCTGTGTATGTGGTACTGAGAAATCAAAGCCAGGGCTTCACACATGCTAGGCGAGCACTCTACCGCTGAGCCACGTTCCCAGGCCCAAGCTACGGTTTCATTCCCAGCTTTTCATTGGTTAGCTGGAGACAAGACTCACAGACTTTCCTGCCTGAGCTGGTTTCAAATTATGTTTGTTTGTTTTTTTTTTGGAGGGGGGGAGTCCGGTTGTGGGGCCTGAACTCTGGGCCTGGGCGCTGTCCCTCAGCTCTTCAGCTCAAGGCTAGCGCTCTACCACTTGAGCCACAGCGCCACTTCCGGCTTTTTTCTTTTTGCTATGTGGTGCTGAGGAATCGAACCCAGGGCCTCAGGCATGCAAGGCAAGTGCTCTACCACTGAGCCACCTTCCCAGCCCTGGTTTCAAATTATGATCCTCAGATCTCAGCCTCCTGCTAGGAAGGATTACAGGCGTGAGCCACTGCCCCTGGCCTAGCCAGTTTTTTTTTTAGCGGCTGTTTTTGTCCACTTACCCCTGGCTCCTCATTCTCCTCTCTATAATTGACAGTTTGGGGTACTGGACAGAACCTCCCCACCCCGCCCCCAGCCATGCCCTCACCTGGCGGCGGTGCCCCCACAGGGCTCTCTGTTCGGTTTGTGGCTGGGTGGGGGTCTGAGAGATGAGGGAGGAGGGACTTGGAGGTGCCTGGGGCCTCCACTGCGCCTCTCACACGCTGAGGAGAGACGGGGTCGGCGCCGTTCATCGCTGCGATTGCTGAAAAGACAGAAGGGATCACCGTGCCTGGAGTGGCAGTGACGACCCGTGGCCCTCATGGGTCACAATGAGGAAAATGGGACCCGGAATCCCACAGGCACACGGCAGCAGCTGCCTGGACCATTTCCCCCTCGCTGGGACACCCACCTGGCTTCGGCTGCCCACTGGGAGCCAGTGAGGCTGGAGATGTGGGCTGGGGTTCTGTGCCGTCCTGAACACCAGAGAGCTCCGGCCGCTTGGGCTGAGGCCCCGGGGAGCTGACTTCCCAGGCCTCTGCAGCTCCACCCATTTTGGGGGGCTCAAGGGGCAGCTCTTCAGCAGGAGGAAGGCTTCTTGCCAACACCAGGTCTGGCTGGGCCCCAGGCCCCTGAGGGGGCATCATCTCAACTGGGGGTGCTGGATCCTGCTGCGTGGAGAGGGGGGCTTGGGCTGCCTCCTGGAAGTCCTCCTCATGCCCACCCTGTTCCTCCGGCACTGGCCTCCCGGCCCCGGGCGGTGCCCGTGGAACCCCGGCCTTGGCCTTCAGACGCTCGTCTCTCGGAGGGTGCTGTTCCACTGGGCCGCCCGGCTCCTGCGTGAAAGGAGCAGCTGTGGGCACCCTGAGCAGAGGCGTGGAGTTTGTGGGGATCAAGGCAGGGTGTGGGGGGGCCAGCAGGAGGGACACCTGGGCTGCTGCTTCCAGAGGCTCCTGTGAGTCAGGGTGTCCAGTCCAGCCCTGGGAGCTGGGACCCCGAGGCAGCTGGAGGTCATCGGGTGCAGGGAGCCGTTCTCCCGGGGCCCTGTGGGCTGCCTTGGGTCCATGCAGGGCTGGGCTCAGGGGAGGGTCTGCAGGCCTCTTGGGCCCTTCCGTGGGCTTCTGGGGGCTGTCTGAATGCCAGAGGCTTGCATCTCTGGCGTCCCGGTCATGATCCTGAGACCCGGATGGGATCAGGTAGAACTGTGAGTCCTCTAGTGGCCCGTGAAGGTCCCTGCCCAGGGCTGGGCCAGCCCCCAGGGACCGGAGCAGCAACAGCAGCAGGAGACTTGGTGGGCTGGGGGCCATGGCGTGCTCCGATTCCTAGGCGTGGAGCCCTCAACTTCCGGTCCTCACTGGTGAGTCTAAAGAAGAGGGGAGACTTGTGAGGGTTGGGGTTTCCATGGTCTCCCAAGGGGCGAGAAGAGAAACAGGCAGCTGCCTCCGCCGCTCTAAAAACTTCTATTCATTTGCTTACATATTTGTGGTCGTCGTGGGGCCTGAACTCTGGGCCTAGGCGCTGCCCCTCAGCTCTTCAGCTTAAGGTTAGCGCTCTACCACTGGAGCCACAGCGCCACTTCTGGCTTTTTCTGCTTATGTGGTGCTGAGGAATCAAAGCCAGGGCCTCAGGCATGCAAGGCAAGCGCTCTGCCACTGAGCCACCTTCCCAGCCCCTCTAAAAACTTAAAATGGAACCTCTAGCTGGGCGCTGGTGGCTCATGCTTGTAAGCCTAGCTACTCAGGAGGCTGAGATCTGAGGATCACGGTTCAAAGCCAGCCCAGGCAGGAAAGTCCATGAGCCTCTTATTTCCAGTTAGCCATTAGAAAACTGGAAGTGGAGCTGTGGCTCAACGTGGTAGAGCCCTACCTAGCCTTGAGCAAGAATTGCTCAGAACAGCATGCAGGCTCTGAGTTCAAGCCCCATGACTTACAAAAAAACCCCACACACAAACCAAACAACAACAGAATCTCTCTGTGGTCATGAGACTTACCCTGCTTCAAAACCTCCCATGGGCCCTGGCTGCCTTTGGAGAGAACACGGCCTCCTCTCCTGGCCGCGCAGGCTCCTCTCCTGGCCGCGCAGGCTGCTCCCCGCATTGCTCGTCTTTCCCTCTGCTTGCAAAGCCCGCTCCTTTCGCCTTCACTGGCTGAAGCCTGATTTCTGGAGGGCCAGCTCCAGAGTGGGAGGTGGACGGGAAGAGGACCGCGGTCCTCCCACGAGGGCCAGGCTCCCTCCAGCTGCCTGGTAGGGTTTAGGGTCCTTCACTTTTCTTTTGCTCCATAAAGCTTTCCTTCTCCTTCCCCTTAACTATTTCAGCAAATAAACCGAACTCTGTGTGGGTAAAATGAGGAACACAAGCTGGGCACACATGGTTGTGCCTGTAATCCTAGCTACTCCGGAGGCTGAGATCTGAGCATCACGATTCGAAGCCAGCCCGGGCAAGAAAGTCCGTGAGACTCTTATCTTCAATAAACTCAAAAAAGCCAGAAGTGGCGCTATGGTTCAAGAGGTAGAGCGCTCGCCTTGAGCAAGAGCAACTCAGGGACAGCGCCCAGGCCCAGAGTTCAAGCCCTAGGACCTGCAAAAACAAAAATACACACCAAGACCAGATGCCCCCACCGAGTTGGCTTTCTATTCTAGATGAGACAGAGAAAGTAATTCTAGATAAGATAGCTGTGAAGAGAGTAAATATGGTTAGGAGCTATTTCCCGGGTGCCAGGGGGCCTCTCTGAGGAGACATTTAAGTAAACGCTGCCTGGCCAGGAGGAGCCTGGCCTAGGACGAGCTGAGTTTGGAAAAGCAAGTGCAAAGGCCCTAGAGCAGGAATGCGCTAAAGGAGCCTGGGAGCAGCCCACGGTGGCTGGAATTCCACCGGTGAAGGACAGAGTCTCAGAAGAAGGTGAAGTCAGGGAGGCCGGGGCTGATCAAAGGGGCCTGCAGGCCACCTGCCTTCAGAGTTTCCAGAGGAAAGGGAGGCCCGTGCGCCCAGCCAGGTAGTGATGGCCTCGGGCTCCTCCTCCTCCTCCTCCGGGAAGCCGCCCCGGCCGCCCCTGGGCCGGGGCAGATCCTCCCCAGGCCCCGCTCCCCGAGGCCCTCCCTAAGTAGGCCAAGAGGCTGCTGGGGCCAGCGCCTAGGCCCTGTGGCCGGGCGAGCTGGGGTCCGGCTGTGTTCCGGTCCCAGATCTCCCTCTTCTGTCCTGGGCAGCCACCGTCCCCAGTGCTCCGGGCCTCCTGGCCTGCTCTCGGGCCAGGCTGCTGGCTGGGCACCCAGGAAGAAGCTTCAGTTCCAAATGGGGGTGCCTGGAGCCCCGACACAGCAGCCGGCTACTGACAGTGCCCTGGGTGCTGCCTTCACCCTCCCCGACGAGCCGGTGTGAGTGCACCCAGCACGGGCTTGGCACCCGGTTCAGAGAGGTTGAGCAACTTGTCCAAGGTCACACAGCCAGCTGAGTGCACATATGCACGGCCAGCAGCTCCCTCCGAGAAGCAAAGCACGGAGAAGGCTTAAGTCATCGCAGAGAATAACAAGCATCGGCCTGCCACCCCCGCCCCATCCAAGAGAGGGGGCGCCTGCAGACGCCCGGCGTTGGGGTGCGGGGGCTGGGTGGATGGGGGGGAGACCTTGCGGCGGGGCGGGGGCAGGGTGCGGGCCGCCGCAGGGCAGCCTGCAGGAGCCGGCCCGGCTCGGGTTACCTCTTCCCCGGCCTCCTCTCGGCCTGGCTCCGCG